TTATTTTAGGAAATTGTAATAAATTATCATTAACATTTGTATTTTTATAATAAAATATTTAAGAAACTCTCTATGGAAAAGCAAATTAATATGTTAAATTTTGGTATATGTTTGTTTCAGGTGTTTATGGTAACTTACTCAATAAATGAACTGTTAACAGCAGCCAACTCAAAATTTAATATTACTGCCAAAAGATTATTCACTCCTCAAGGTGGAGAAATTGATGATATTAAATTAATTCGGTAAAAATGAATATACTGATTAATAATTTATATATCTCTTGTTGTTATATTAATTTTTATTTACTGAAGTATTATAATAAATTTTAAAATTCAGTGTGAATAATTGTAATAAAAGTAGACTTTTTCCAGAGATGACGATGTTTTATATGTTTCATGCGGTGAAGATTTTATTACAAAGGATAAGATTTGTGCTCATAACCAACTAAGTAGTCATTCAGAATGGATTACATTAAATGTTGGTGGTAAATATTTTACAACAACCAGAGATACCTTAACAAAAAAGGAACCAATGAGTATGTTAGCCAGGTAAACAAATGTATTTAATTGATTTATGAATGAAATGTTACATTTGTACGTATTTATAACATGAAAGCACAGAATGTTTACAGACACTGGAAGTACAGAACAAAGAATTTTACCTAGCAGACAAGATAAAAATGGTGCATTTTTAATTGATAGAAGTCCTACGTATTTTGAACCACTTTTAAATTATTTAAGGCATGGACAAATAATACTTGATGCTAATGTGAATGCAGCAGGTGTGGATTTTATTATATTTTATTTATATTATATTTTCATTTGTTGTGTAAGTTTTTTTTTGTAATTATGATCTATATAATGTTTTGTCTTTTCTGTTGAATGTAATTATTTCTCTTTTATTTATTACTTTGTTTATATTTCTGTGCATTTCACTATATAAAACCTCTTTGAATTTTACATATATTTGAATAAACATTAATGTCCAATAGGTATTTTGGCAGAAGCGCGTTTTTATGGAATAGAAGGTGCCATTGATATATTAACTGCAATGGTGGATGAAGAGGAACATCAAAGGAATGATTTGGTATCTTTAACGCGGAAAGACGTACTTAAAGCTATTATGTCAACACCTACCACTTCAGAACTTAGATTTCAAGGTGTTGATTTTGTTGGTGCTGACTTATCAAAGTTAGATCTTAGGAATATTAATTTCAAGGTGATTAAAATTATTTCGAAAGTAGAATAAATATTGCAGTAAAGTTTACATACAGACAAATGGATATAATTATTATAAAAAATATTTTTTATTGCTTTTTTAGTATGCAATTATGCGCGGCTGTTGTTTAGCGGGTTCAAATTTATCAGGGTGCTGCTTTGAACGAGCAGATTTATCTCGTGCAAATTTGAATGCTGCTCAGTTAGTTTGTGTAAAAATGCTGTGCGCAAATTTAGCTGGTGCTAATCTTCGTTCATGCAATTTCGAAGACCCAGGTGGTTTAGCCGCTAATATGGAAGGTGTGAATCTTAGAGGTGCCAATCTTGAAGGTAGTAATATGACTGCTGTAAATCTCAGGGTGGCAACGTTAAAAAATGCTAGTTTAAAAAACTGTATTCTTAAATCAGCTGTACTAGCTGGTGCCGATCTAGAGGTACTACTTTATCAATAATTATTCATATCATAATACATACTTTTTTTGTTTTATTATAAGCAGGATCAATCATTTTTATATATTTCAGTGCTGTGACTTATCAGGATCTGATTTACAAGACGCAAATTTACGTGGTGCAAACTTAAAAGATGCTGCTTTTGAATTAATGTTAACGCCATTGCATATGTCTCAAGCGATACGATAAACGGCTTAGTTTCTGTGATGTAGATATTTATTTAATTGGTAGGATAATAAGTATTTCAATGATATCGTTTTTGTAGAAGTATGATGCTTTTAGTCGTTTATACAAATTGCGTGCCTAATTTTTGTACTAGTGTGCGTGTTTATTACATTAAAATTATTACTGAGGAAATGAAATCAGTAATTGTAGTCATAAATTGACAATTTGATTGTGAGTGAATGTATGATTATCTTATAGATTGCCTATTCAAGCTTGACCGAAGTTTGTATCCTTTTCTCGATTTAATTGGATGATTCTTTAGGTTACGTTTTTCAAGGGCATTTGCCGCTCTACTTATAAGAAAAAACAGCAGGATTGTGAATAGATATCCCAAGTCCTCTTAGAATCACCGTCCATAAATATAAATGATTAAGTATATTTTGTGAAGTAAAAGTTTACAAGTAAAGTTATTTTAATCTGTTAAGCAGATGATGAATCGTTTTTTAAATGGTGAAAGATTTTATTTACGAACGTAACAGTTTTATTTTGCTGTTTTGCAAATGATAAGAAGATATAGACTGAACATTGTATAGTGTGATTATTTTTAGAATAGTGTAAAAAAAAACTCGGTACTAAACATTGTGTTCATGGAAATAGTTCATTATACGTATGTAATTCGATATTTTTTATTTTCCATTTTTGTTCCTCATTGTGTTATTGAAACTATATTCTAGTATATTTTTTAGGTGTCGCCAGTTTATAAACATCCATTAAATAATTATATTCAATGTAAATTATACTAAAGATCAAAGATCAATGTAAAAAATAATTATATCGTGCGAAAAAATTTCTCTAACTAAAAGCAGAGATTGAAATGTTAAATCGATATAAAATGACAATACGATTTTATTTTATAAATTATCGAATTGTTTGTCGTAAAACGATACAAAAAATGATGCATAAAACAGGAATTTTATTCATTTGTGATAAACCTATAGGTTTGATATAATTTTCAACCTACTAAAGCTTAGATCACTCATTCACGATGAAATGTTCTGTAACATTAAACAAGTATGTAATCGTGAATGTGTTTTAAAGAAAATGTCTGAATTTGTACCTTTTTTGTACATAACATAAGTTCTTGGGATTTTGTGATTAAAGTGTGCAGCGTGTGTATGTAATTCAAACGAATATATGAAAACCACATAAGTTATTATATAGTGACTTATCTAAATAAAATATAAAATATTTAGTTTCGTTTGTTGTATACTATTATGACGAAAATTTATTTATTATTTTTATGTTCCGCGTGAATATTAATTATGTAATGTGTTCATTTTTAATTTTTTTTACGTAAAATTGGAAAATGTTTTTTTTCTTGTTAGATAAGATATGACAAAAATTGGTACCAATAGTAAAATGCATCTAGAGGATTTGAAGAATTTAAACTGAAACAATGTAATAGTCTTCGTTCAGCCAAAGATTGTAAACTGTGCTATTTTAATATCAAATCATTTATATTAATACTAATGTAAAACTGCGAATATTAAGTGCATGCTATATATGTACATACTCAGATATCAATTGAATATTTAACATTTGAAACAATTATTTCTCTCATTTTGCTATAAAAAATTAATTAATCTCGTATACTTAAGGCGAATTCAGAATATTAAAAAAGAATTTTCAAGCAGAGGTTAACTTGCTATATTCGAAAAATAATCTGTGTTGGGAATAGGTTTACCATTATCGCATATGCTTGTAAATGACGTGTGCATGACGTCGACCCAGAATGTCTATTGTTACATTTGCCATGTTACACATTGAGCTCAACAATGCATTTTGTGTGCAAGTTGATTTCTATGCATGTAATTACAGGGTTCTAATGCTCGTGATAGAATATATTTTGTAGACATAATTGTGATTTCCAACCAGAAATATTTTATCCTATAGAATTGTTAATTGTAGAATTATCGGAATTGTAGAATTGTCTTTAGAAAAAGTTGTTTAGAAAAAGAAATTAAAATTTCGTTACATATAAATATTAAAAGTTAAACAAATAAATCTGCTGAAAAAATTGCTCACAATTTACATAAAAAAGAATTAATTAGACTGTGTATTTTCTTTCGTATTATTATAGTCATATTTCTGTCTCTCGATATATTTTCAATATCTTTTGTTACGAATATTGCGATTTTTAAACAAGTAATTTCATAAGGTAGAATTCGTCTTTTAATAAATTGTGATGTTAATATATATTAAGTAAATTTTTTTCTCCTTATTCTTTATACAAGTTGTTATTGTAAATTTTTGTGGCATAAGTAAATGTTTAATGAGTTATTGGACAAATAGAAATTTCAACCACATTCGCATTCAGCTTTACGTTATTAAAATAATCTTAATAAAAGCTCCGATACTCCTCGAAATAATTTAAACAATATCATACGACTTTAATGCACTTATTGCACAGAAACATCAAAGATAATGAAATTATAAAATAGATATTTATCGTTTCAAGTATATATACTACACAAAAATAATAATTTTAGAAAATGTAGAAGATAATAAAGTGTCTGAATAATTAAAAACTTTGATTGAAATCCAGTACTCGAAAATCATCGTCGTATTTTATAAATAGAAATTCACAATCGAATGCAAAATGTAATCAGATAATTCTAGAGATGAAAATTTTTCTAATTTTCCATCAGATATCAATTTTTTACTTTAAACTTAAATTCAACTGTAAAATAACTTTTCATTATACCTTCCTCTAGTCACTTCTTTACTTAAAATGTGAAAATTTGCACATTCCTGTGTTTCGGTATAAGGGGGATGAATTTTCATTTTTCGTAAGTAAAGATTATTTCCATATTTCGTCTAGCAATCTGCACCATGTGAACGCAGTAACCGATAAATTCTTAACGCTCTGGAAGGCGTTCTGCAGCACACCTGTCCTTGGCAATCGTGCTACGATTAAGCACAGTTACGAACTCTCACGTCGATAAATTGCATATTTCCTCGGCGAACAGGCCGAGAGTCGTTTTGCTGTCCGTTTGATAATCGAAGGAACCATGGAAAAGCTGGCGCGTGTAGGATGTTCGTCGAATTGAATTTCGCGATGGAGAACAGACGAGCGACGTAACTTGCTAGCACAGATTTGTCCTAATCTCGTTTACCGAAGTCCAGAAACATTCGCCACGCTGTTCTGGAGTTACCTGCTTCCGGTCTAACGAAATCACTTTAACGAGGCCATCGCGGACCCTACCAAGGAGGACTCTCTCTCTGTTCTCATGGTTAGAAGATTCGTTGCAAGTTCCTGATCAGCAATTTCGCACCCTTTTGCGAGATTCAAGGCTCCAGAGTTCAGGAATAAGCTGATAACATTGCTAGGAATTTTTCGCGAATAATAGATTCCTCGGGAAATAGGAGAACCGAAATTGTCTTCGAAAATAAAAGATTTTTCAGGGAATGAAGAAACCCCAAATTTCGCAGGGAATAAGAAAATCTAAATTATCTCGAAAAATAAAGGTTCCTCAAGGAACGAAAAAGTCCAGATTATATCCAATTTAAATGTATCATTTTCAAAAATAAAGACTTCTTAGGGGATAAAGAGGACCGAAATTATCTCGAATTTATATCTCGAGAATTTCATAATGGTATTTCAGGTTTCCTCTGCGTTTGGTAAGTCTCCCAATACTTAGACGAAAGTGTACACGAAGTTGTGGTAGGTCGTGAATTCAATTTTCTGGCGAAGAAATAGCTCGTGCTGGAAGCTCGAACTCGAATTTCGATTTCCTTTTTTACCGTGAAATAGCATGTGTTGATTTATTTTGTAATTTTAGCACAGCCTTTATATGTTACTTTTCATATTTGCCATAAATTCTCGTTTTCTCTCCATTTTTGTGTTCTCCTATGATTTGCTTCTACAATTGTTCATTCCTCGCTTGAAAAATTTTATTACATTCTTAGAATTTAACCAGAAATTCTTAGATTTCTACATTGGTTTTTCTATACGATGTACACGTGTAGAAATAAATTTTTAGTTTATCATTTCTTTCTTTCAATCTTGTATAAATTTTAATAACTTCTGTATTCATATATTATCATTCACTTCTACGTACCCAGTGGAAATTTGTACTTTCTCGTATATTGCAAAGTTTCATATTTGATTCTTGTATTTTTATTCCCTGCAAAATTTGTATACTTTAGACATATTCTTTATACAAATACCTGCTCGTTTCTAACACAGTCAACATGCATTCATATTTCTCTACGTTTAATACGAACTCGTATTTCTATACATGGCGCAACTGTTTATTTCTTCATACGTTGCTTGCCTTTTTCTGTCTAACTCCTCTTCTCATTATAACATATATTTCATTGAATTTTTCTCAGAATTCGGGTTTTAAAGTGTTCGTCATAAAAATTGTCCTAATTATTCGAGCAAAACTACCGAACGAAATAGAAGCGATTGGATAACTTGCGAAAATCATGAAATTATCGAAGAAAAATTTGAACGAATTAAAAAATTAATTGAAATCGTCAATTAAAAAAAAAAAAATTAGAAGCGACTTCGTTAAATTGCACTTTATCGAATTTTTGGACGATCGTGACCACAAACAGCGCGACAGCGAGGCGAGACGAATTTTTCGGGTCTCCTTTGGACACCGGAAGTCTTCACGCACCCCTTTTGCCTCCGGTTCCTTTTGTCACACGATAAATGACTCGTGTATGGGACCACATTTCAGACTTCTTTGATGTTAAATTGCTCCGGCAAACGAGGCTGCTAACCATTTTACCTAGCAGTTCGAGCTGCAGCTTAATTGTGCCACAGAGCAGGTTACTCTATATCTTGCTCCTGAAACAGGGGCTCTCAGGACGCGAAATTCTCGCAAGGAAACAACGGATCGTTTTTCATTGATAAAAGATTTTCGTTGGAAACAACGCAAATTCGAAATTTTCTGTTTATCTTCGATTAACGAGACAGAAATATGTATATGTAGTTTCTTTTGCATTAATTTCAC